TATATATATATATATATTATAAAATTATAATCTGTTCATATTTATAATCAGTAAAAACTAAAATTTCATCTGACTTTTGACTTTAATAAAAAACTGAAATAGATATTTAATGGTCTTCCATGTTTTTATAATAAGATTAATAGAAAGTGAAATTAAAATTACGTATAATTATAAAGAGTATCATGTCCCATTTTTTTTCCAAATAAATGAAGAAAGAAAATGATTTCATTTTTAGACAAATAATTTTAAAAAGTTCTCTTATAAAAAGTTTTAGCTTACTTTTTTAAAGTCAGAAAATAAAACTGTTTTGATTTCTTAATGTATCACTTAGTAAAAAAAAGAAACTATTTCTTTTCAATTTTTTTAAACATATGAATTAATAATAATAACCTGTTTATTAATATATAAAGCATGCAACTATATTTGAAAAATTGATCTTTTCAGACTGTATTATTTAAATTTCTATTTGGTTTAATATCATTTTCAGCAATAGACTAATTGCTAAAATAAAATCTATTACTCAGTTTGAAGAATGTTTAAACACGTACAGCTCTAGTTCAACGAAGTTCGCTGGGTATGGAAGTTCGATTTGTTTTGGTTGTACCAATATGGCGCCGCGGTTGCGGTTAAGGCTTCACGAGTTTACGGGCATGCCGTCTCCTCCTATTTATTACTCTATGGAAATAATACTTATTTGTGAATAATATGCTATTTTTTATAACTGCTGCGAGTTGCAACTGTTAATCATGACTATTAGGTCAAGTTTAGCCAATCTCAAGCCAGTGATGTCTATGCTTAGTTTGAAAATGGTGCAAAATGTCAATGCGAAGAAAAGCCATAGTTTTGTAAAAATGAAAAGCGTTTGTGGTCTAATTTTTTAATATTTAAAAACTTACTCACATGCTACATAACTTGGACTCATAAAAGTTTGCAAAAACTGAGAATAAGCCAGTGATTTTCATGATTTTATCTCGCTGGGAAAATGTCGCCAAATTGGCGATTTTTAAAAAAGTTTAACAACGTTTAAGTTATTTAAGTTATTTGTCTGTTCTAAAGCCCAGATAATTCTTCACGGCAAGATTATATATATAGTTTTGAATCATCGAATTGTTTCAAGTTTAAGGCACTTAAGCAATGACCTTTTCCCCCCCTCTCTTCTTGGCGATAGGATTAGTTAAAGGATTTCTTGCTTAATTTGGCGACATGTTGGTGAAATCTTTCTATTTTAAGATTTTTATTGAGGTCTTTGTTTAGTAAGTTTTCTTATAAATTTGTTTTAAAAGGTGACAAGTTACATTTGCGATTTTGAAATGCTGTTCCATACTGGTGAAGCGTAAGTGAGAATCAGTCTGATCATTAAAATATAAATTAGTCGCTTTATTTTGATATCTAACTTTGATTTAGCAGTGATGAGAGTCTGATGTTTGTTTATTTCTGATTCTTCTGATATTCTTGATTTTTATCTTTAATATTTTTTTACATGGTTTCTCCAAGTGAAGTTTTAGTTTAGCACTAAACAAAGAACATTACTATCAGTTAATCTGACTTTTCATATATTTGCATTTTAATTATTTATTTATAGCGGAAAAACATTCTTTTTACTCTAATTTCTTGAAATGTTATTCAATTAACTTTTCTACCGTTAAAAAAGTTATTTATTGTAATTAGGCAAATTCGGTAATTGTTAGAAACATGAAATGCTTGCAAAGTTGAAAAGAACGCTGCTTTCAATTGTAAATTCTTCTGTTATATAGCTACCAGTATAAGGAATCGTAATCAGAAAATATACAAAACTAACACAACGTCCATGTCAACACAGTTACATATCGGCCAACTTTTAATCCCTTTCATTTTGATTTTTCCCAGTGGTATTAAAATGGAATTATAATTTCCATTTTAAGCAAAAAAATATGTTGTAATTGAAAAGCTTAAGTAGACAAATATGAAAGTAACACAAACTAATATAGATGCTTAATTTTTTTAAGAATAGTGGAGAACAAAATCATTTAAAAATTAAGTTTATAAAAGAAAAAATAGTATATATTTACTACCACCTTAAATATAAAAATAAAATTTTACGCCAAATGCGTAAAAGTTGGCAGTTATGCAATTACACACAAAGGAGAAAGGACACCGAACACAGAGAGAAAGAAACATCCATGCCCTGAGCAGGGAGACCATGACTTGCTCAAGGTGGATATTGAGAAGAAGAAGAAAAAGAATATCTGAATGGAATGAAGAGAGAACGTTTTCCAGCTTCCGTCGCGATGTCCGAATAAGAGGCACTTCCTGCAGATGTCCAGTGGAGCGGAAGTGACGCCTTTTGTCAGCCGGAAGAAAACTAAGTCCGGTCTCTGGTTGAACGACCCTCTCACAACACATTTATTCTGATAAGACGNATTAAATATCTTTAGTAAAGGATAAGGGTAGAAATTCTATTTTGGGACTTCAAGGCTAAAAACATGCCAATGAATAATAATTAGATTTATACTTCAAAAGAGAAGTTATTTTAAGATCTTTCACTTCCATATAAGGAAAGATTAAACGATTTGCTATGAGTAATAAATAAATTGATGAGGCGTAAGAATACAGAAAAAGGCATATGACTGGGCCTCTTTACAACTAAAAATCATCCTATAAAATGCAGGAGCAATGTTTTAGCGTGACTTTTTGGTGTATAATGTTTACCAACTAAACTTCGTCAGATCTGACTGTAACTCTGTCTCTCCCTCTCCGTCTGGAGAGGGGTGAAACTGCTATTTCACCATCGTTTAGCTAAATAAAATATTGTGCCGAAACTGGACTTGTTAATCATGTTGCTCTCAATACTAATTTACTAAAAAATTATTAGATATATATACGGAGTTATGGAAGATATCCGTAATAAGTGAAGTGAAGGTCTGTTTGACTTCTCTTTTATATCTTTTACCAGTGATGTAAAGATGGATTCTCAACAGTTACTGTTCTAAACAGGAAATTCTTTCGAAAATAAATATTGCAAACAAAATGAGAGTAGATACATAGAGTTTTATTCCACGATTTGAAAAAATATGCTATGAGCAAGCGTAGCTCACCTACCGCACTAAGCGAATTCAGAAAACCTCTAAATGTGAAAGATATATTCATGGCTTTTTTATATTATTAATACTTACAATAATATATATTATTGTTATTACATTATTAATTTTAATTAAAGTACTTGCTTTCGTTTTAAATTGAAATGCGTTAACCATGTTCAATTCTCGCCGTTCATTAACTGTTTCATCGTCTTATACACACATGAAAAATGCATTCCTTTCTTTTTTTGTTGCAAATAAATATGCAAGTTTGAGTGTTCTTCACAAACATCTCTTATAAGCGCAAGCCAACAGAGATGCCAACTGCTCCGGACACGCCAAAATAATTTATATAACGGTAACTAACTACAAAGAAAATTTTGAAAATATTTGACTATTTTTGCTTGCTTTTTGAAAGGTACAGCGTTATTAATCATATATAAAGTGGTGAATAATATAAGCCTACGAATTATTTAGAGATAGTGGTGGATAAAAATCTACTAAATTGAATTTATTAAACCAAGAATCACAATTGATAAACTACCACTTTGGAATATATATTTGCCGTCCGGAGCAAGTTGGCATCTCTGTGTCAAGTTGAAGAACATGCATTAAATGTGTATTACAAATATTATACAGCAGGCAAATATATTATCTGATTTGTTTTTAGAGTCGTGGTGGATCGAGGGATAGCACGCTCGCCTCTAATTGAGAAGACCCGGGATCGAACCCTAGTGATGACAGGTAGAAACGAATCCCACACCGAGCACTGTGATGATGTGTAATATCAAAATCTGTTAGATTATCGGAAATATATTTGCACTAAAATCTAAAATACAAAAAAGTAATTTTTAAAGAAAAGTATTGCATAACCCAGGGATGGGCAAACTTTTTTAGTCGAGGGCAAAAAATCGAGAGAAAAAATTTGGCGGGCCGAGTAAAAAAAAAAAAAAAAAAAAAAAAANAAAAAAAAAAAAAAAACGATATGCAAGTTTTAATTTAAATATATAATGAGATGAATGACACTGCGATATCATTTTAAAAAGTTACTTACATTGGCGGACATTGGTTCGAAGTGAGATGTACTTTAAGAAACGAAGCTGAATGCTTGTCTGTTAGTCTACTTCTGAAAGGATTTTTTCTAAGGTTCATAGTTGAAAACTCTTGTTCACAAATATAAGATTAAGCAAACATAGCACTGATTTCCTGGGCATGAAATATTAGATTTTGGAAACTAGCTTTTGGCAATGATTTGTAAAACTCAAACTTTGCCATATTTAAAAACAACTGTTTCAGATGATTGTTAGATTACCTGCTCGTTCGAGCTTGAAATGCGCAGTCTGACACATGTGAAGTACAATTCACCTATATTAGATTCCATAAGTTTGCTCCTCGAGAAGGACAAACGCTATTGTAGTTGGAACCAATCTACGGCTATTCTATAAAGAACTTCTGCTTTCAGCATTTTACCAATTGAAGCTGTCTGTGCTAACTATTTCCATCAATTTATGTTTTGTAGAACAAAAATAGAGAAAGTAAAAAGGTCATCAGTACTTTGTTAAAAAAGAAAAAACAAAAATAGCTTTAAACAAAGTAGACAAAAAAATGGATGTATAATGTATATTGTTTATTCGCCAGGGATCGGCAAGTTAAAATTCTATTCGCGGGCCAGATGAAACCTTCCGACGGGCCACAGTTGGTCCGCGGGCCGTAGTTTGCCCATCCCTGGCATAACCATTAATTATTAAAATGCTAAATATAACATTTTCCCCTTATTTTGAGCTAAATAAATAAAAAAAAATAGTGGAAAAGTATGAAAAAAATGTTTTATAAATATTCTACACCAATGGAACTACGTAACATTTCTTGGCCGGATCTGCATTGTGTTTAGAAATGGTATTAATTAATATTAGAAACACAATGTTGCATGTTTTTGCGTAATAATGTTATTATTTATATATTTCAGGAATGGTAATAGCTGTCATTACTTCCGGTGATAAAAAACAACTTGCAAGAATGATCACACCCTATTTCGATAATTATAAGGAAACAGAAGCATGCCTTACCCTCCGTTTATTTGTATCCGGCGAAGGAGTTTCCTTTTTTCGAGTTGAAAAGCAAACAGATTCAGGATTTCAAAAAATATTGAGCGTACACACTCAGACTGCCCACTGGAGAAGTTTCAGTTTGCCGATACAGGTTTCCCAGTTCGTGAGAGTAAGTATGTGGGGCGCAAAATTTAAAAACGGACCACTCCGAAAAACTTTTGATGTAATGATCGGATCTTCGCGATTTTAGAGCTCAATTTAAATAGTTTGAGGGTGTGACCTTAAATATGCTAATTAACCTCTTAATGCACAGTTTCTTTGAAAAAACCCGGCAAAAAAAAAATCAATTTTTTTTCTGTAAAAAAACACACTTTAGAGCATTGTCTTTTCTCTTGGTGGACAATTTTGATATACTGCGCTTTTGTTCGATGGAAAAGGGCTATATTCAGAGATGCCAACTGTCCCGGACGCGTCAAAATAATTTAAAAAAAAGGTAAATATCTACAAAGTAAATTTCGCAAATATTTGACTATTTTTGCTTGATTTTTAACATGCACAGCAAGACATAAGTACTTCGTTCGTTGTAGTAGAACTGCAGAGATGCCAACTTGCTCCGGACAGCAAATATATTTTTTAAAGTCGTAGTTTATCCATTGTGTTTCTTGGTTTAATAAATTCAATTTAGTAGATTTTTATCCACCACTATTTCTAAATAATTCGTAGGCTTATATACTTCATCACTTTATAGTACTAATGTCATGCTATGCCTTTCAAAAAGCAAGCAAAAATAGTCAATTATTTGCAAAATTTACTTCGTAGTTGTTACATCTGGAACTGGCCTTATGGCTTTTTATTACAAAAGTTCTTGACTTGATGGTTTTAAAATGGTGATAGTTTTTTAAGTGGTGAATTATATAAGCCTACGAATTACTTAGAAATAGTGGTGGATAAAAACCTTATAAATTTATTTTATTTAACCAAGAATCACACTTGATAAACTACCTATTTTTAAATATATATATTTTCTATCCGGAGCAAGTTGGCATCTCTGTATATTTTATTCTTGAATAAATAAGTGTTATAGCTAACAATCCTATGTAAGTGATAAATATCAATAAAAATTTTTTTTTTCTTAGCTTTCACATTGTTATTTTCATTTCTCGATTATATTCGAGAGTGAAAAATTATAGCAGCATTAAATACAACGCCACTCGAATTATCTCGAGTGTACAAAGTTTGGCCTGTTTAGAGCGCTCGAATTAACTGGAGGACACAAGTTAAGGGGTTAATTAGTGTAGATGATATTTTGAGTTACGAAATCTGGCACAAAACGTACGAATTGTTCCTAAAGACCTGTAACTTTTTTTTAAAAATCGATTTCTCAGTAATATTTGATTGATTTTGCACAAATTTTATAATTTGCGATGTAAAATTAGATTCTTTAAAACGATGTTAAAAATTGTATATCTTACAACTTAAATTTTTTTGACTATTATTAAATAAAATAATAAAAAATATTAATCATTTACTGAAAGCTATCTCTTTAATGGAATTTATCTTTAGATGAACGCTTCCCTGACCGAACTATAATTTCCAGATAGCGGCTACCTCCTATATTTTAGGAGTCAAAAATCCGAATTTGTCGAAAGAAAAAGTATATATATAT